TCCAATAGCTCAATTTATTTTATTGCATTTAAGGGTTATATAGTATTTTTAGTCATACCTGTAGATGTGGATGTATAAATGAATGATTTTTTGTTTATTCACGACTAAAACATTGATTTTCCAAATTTATCACACTAAAAATGATCGTCTGCCTTTGTGATTTATGGTCATAGCATAAGATACACGTGTTGAAAATTGAAATCTTTTAAAAAGTACAACAAATTCAGAAAGAATTAATATATAGCATTTGCGACAAAGGTGCAATATCACCTTTTATTTTTCTACCCAAAATAATTGCTTCAATAATGCTGCCTATAATTTTTATAATTTCGTACCATATTTGAACTGGCTTTTAGTAATTTTAATATCTAAATTACATTTTTTTCTCCCATAAATCAATATTCATTATTGTTTAAGTTTATATTTGAAGTGAATTAATTTGTCAAATCCTGTTCACATGTGCTCTATTCAACTTACGATCAACAACATTATTGCTCTGTGAATTTTTCTACTGTGCTCCAATTTACTTGATATTTTGGAAATAGGCTAATCTTTATCTTAAGTTCAAAAGTGAAAACAATTTGCACTCCGTCACCATCCACCGCAATAAATGGATTATTACTCTTTTAATTATGATTTTATCAGAACTTGTAATACACTATTTTAAAGGTGATTAAAGAGCTACAACTTTCTATATCATAAATTTTACCGTAACTTCTCTTATTGTGAAACGGCGAAGGGTTAAAAGGCTCGAAAGACCTCTGGTTGGACAGCCGCGCATCCTTAATTAAAACCTCTATCAATATTTGTGTAATGGAAAAATAATAAACAACAATAATAAGTCAGAAAAATACCTCGAATTTTCATATATATATATATATATATATATATATATACTTTTATACGTATTCTTTCAGAATTATTATAATGAGAATTTGGATGTTTTTTTTAATTTTTTTTTCATAAAATCATGAGTTTTTTGAAAATCGTTTGTACTAAAGTTGTGGTATTTTCTATATCCATATATCCATCAAGATCTCTTTAACCAAGTTAATTCTAAATGAAATACGATTATTTTTAAATTTGTTGGAAATGGCACTGAAAAACTATTTGATTTAAATGAAAAAACATTATATGCGTCTTTTATTTGCATGATAGTTTACTCATTTTACACGCAGAAGTACTCATTTTAAAGCTTATTTTGAGCACTATAAAAACCTATTTTCATATCTAGCCTAATAATGTTCCTAAAACACTATAAAATAGCGATTTATTAAGATTTTAATTGATATAATTTTGTACATTACATGATTTTCGTTAAAATGTATATTTTTGAAGATATTAGCAAAAAATGATGAAAAACGCAAAAAAGAAACAAATTTTCAGTATCCAGTAACTTGAAAAGTATTTACTTTTCTGAAAAACATTATTAAACATTTTTCTCTTATAATTAGTTCTTTTATCGATACCCAACGTTATTTTGAAAAAAAAAAAAATTACTTTAATAAATTGTTTTCACTTCTGAAGAGTAAGATGAACCTAGTTCCAAAATTCCAAACGAAATGGAAAACAGTAAAAAAAGTTCAGACCGAAAGCGCTCCATTGTGCAAATATTCCGTATCCAATGACAAACATATGAATTTTTGACACAATGAAACTTGTAAATAATTTTTTTTGTATTGTGACTTAGTATAGTAAGGCAAAACGACTGCAAATTGAATATTTGCACGAATTCGTACGGCGAAATTGTTCGCAAAGTGCGTAAACAAAATTATTGCAAGCAAAAGCATACCACGCGCACGTTGAGAACACGATTCGCCGTGCGCGTCAGTCGCATGCGCAGACTGTCAGACTCATGTTATATTATTTGCATCTTATATTAATTTAATTTTTGGCACATCTCAGCTGCTTTTCGGCATTAATAATGTAGACATTACATTTTCCTTATTCATAATCATGAATTTATTATATTTTAATATTGCCTTAGCCTATAAGTGAATAGAAATGTTTGGCAAATGACAGTCTTCAATTGTTTTAATGTCAAATTAAGCTTCAAATATTTTCAAGGGCGAACAATGATAAGCGGTTTTTTGTAATTTTTTCTATTTATTTCTACAATCTAACTATATTTCTATGAATCAAAACGTTCTAGAAAATTTCCCGAACAAATTTCAGGAAGATTCATGAAAATCCGAATTATAGTTTAGGAAGATTAATGAAACTTACATTGTTACCGAAGAATTTTATATATAAGATATATATATTTATTATTTTTGTACTGTGTTTTTTATATTAATAAATTATTTAATCAAAAAATATTTAATTTGTTAAAAAAACTACTAAAAAATTAGTAAATCAATTTATACAATTATTTACTCCTAAATAAATAAATATAAATATTTTTATTTAATTAATTCATAAATTAAGACATAATTAAGGTTTATTTGGTAATAAATAAAAAATGAGTTAATTAGTAAAGCACAAAAAAATTATTCGTTAAGTGGGATAATTTTCCATTATTCCTATAATATTTATTAAATACTTTCTTTATTTAACTTTATTTTAATTTTAATTTTTTTTTAAAAAGTAGTATTTTTAAGTTAAGTATGATAATTTCTCATTATTCCTATAATATTTGTTGAATACTTTCTTTATTTAACTTTAATTTAATTTTAATTTTTTTTTTAAGAAGTAATATTTTTTTTATAAAACATCAAGTGTAAAACAAGCTTTACAGTGCTAAAGCCGCCATCAAACTCTACCGGCGCCATGTAAAGTCATAATCAAACGCCACATACAAAATGTCAAGTGTTGATACGGCCTTAGGCTAAAGCTTGTAACACACTATGCAATTTAAATAAAATTTTATTTTATTTGTAAAAAGTGGTATTTTCGTTATTTAAATTGATATTATCATTTTTTTTTCATAAAATTTTACACACATTAATTTAAAATAGCAATAAATACAGTTATTAACATAAATTTCTTCTTTTATTTAGTTGATGAGCGTATTTAAGTTATTAAATACTTATTATTATTATAATAATTTGTAATTTGGACACTTCAATTTCTAATAGACTTAGACTAATTAATTTATTGAGTAACAAATATATTTTTTAATATAATTTATGCTCTAATTAATAAATTGATATAATAATCATGTTTAGCAATTAGCAAATACTTCATTTATTTAATTTATAAATATTTATGTATTAACTAATTTTATCAAATAATTATTTGTTTCTTCTAGTTTATGTTTAATATTATATTCATAAATTTTGTTCAAACAAAATATTATTATTAATGTCATGAAAAATCTATAAGATGATTTTCAAATTTTGAAGTTTATCATTTTTTTTTTAAATATAATTTTGTTCTAAACGTTATTAATTAATATATACAGATTTATAGTAAATTTTATTAGTTTTATAACGTCATATAAATATATATTATTATATTATTATATTAGTTTTATAACGATATACAAAAACGTACATGTGTTTTAATGAATTTTAACACAATAATGCAAAAGATAAAAAAATGTAACCTCGAAATTAAAGTGATGAAAAACTATAAGATGATTTTAAAATTTTGAAGTTTGTCATTTTTTTTAAAATATAATTTTGTTCTAAATGTTATTTAATAATATATACAGATTTATAGTAAATTTTATTACCTTTTTAATGATATATAAAAACAGGGGTGTAATCCATTAAATTTTGACAATATATTTATATATTATTATATAAATTTATATATTATATATAAAGCCAAAAACAGAAAAATGTAACCTACTAAACTTGAAACTCGGTTCACAAAATATAGTTATCAAAATTTCACGAATTTTTTTTGACACAATTTTGTTCCAAATGTTAGTAATTAATATATACACGTTTGTAGTAAATTTTATTTGCTTTCTAATGATATATAACAATATGTATGTACTTTGACAAAATTTAACAATATAAACCTAAACCTCAAAAGCTGATAAAATTTACTACAAATTTGTATATATTAGTTAATAACATTTAGAACAAAATTGTATTGAAAAAAATAGTTGAATTTGAAAATTGAACATGAATCGTTTTAATGATTTAACGATCAAGTCTACCTATTTAGGCAAAAAAAATCTCATCGATTATTTTAAGAAAAATTTCCTTGTACCTTTACAAATCTATTTTCACCCTATTTTTCCCTATTTTCTGTAGGTTTAGGGACAACCCTGGCCCTTCTACGTCGCCGGGCATAAAATCTGGCGACCTTAGCAAAGGCCGAGCGAACTACCTTGACAAATCAACTTTATTACATCGACCTTAAAAGGTCCTCAATGATATTTTTAAATGGAAACGATTATCTAGTATATCATAAAAATATGTATACGAACATACATACATACACAGGGGAAATAAATAGAGGAAGGAGGGTTAAAAACGTGTATTTTCGGAAAATTAGATGTATGGTATGGTTGAGGTTTTGGTTTATATTTTTAAATTTTGTCAAAGTACGTATATATTGTTATATATCATTAGGAAGCTAATAAAATTTACTACAAATCTGTATATATTGATTGATAACGTTCAGAACAAAATTATATTTAAAAAATTCGGTAAACTTCAATATTCGAATATAAGTCTAAGTTTCAGAGCATTAAGTCCAAAAACAATTGGAACAAATTAAAACAAATTTATTATTAGTAATTTATTTTTTATAATATTAATAATTTTGCATAAGATTAATAATTTATTTTAATCGCAAAAAATGATACTATTAATTATTATTTATATATTGTTATTACTTTTAGTTATATTATTATTAATTACTTTGCTTACTTAAGCTATATTAATATATCACTTTTATATGTATTGTTATAACATTTAGATTTAAAATAAATGAAAAATGTTTCCCAACAACTTATACTTATATATATATATATATATATATATATATATATATATATATATGAAATTACTATTTAATAATAATAATAATTACTCACATTTCTTTTTTGATCAAAGGCACTTCTTTAATTTTCAGGAATGTCTTGCAAACCACAAACTTTATTAGCAGGCACTGCTTTATCTAAAAAAAAACAATAATAAAAATAAATACAAATAAATAAAAATTCAATAATAAAAATTTATACGAAAGTCTTATACGAAAAATTCTCAATGATCTCATAAATAGCCATTTGTAAACGCTAAAATTAATATTATTATTATTATTATTATTATTTTATTATTTCTGTTGTTATTTTGTTATATCTTATTGTTTTTCTAGTATTATTTTATTACTCAGAAATTTTATAAAATAAATAAAAATTCAATAATAAAAATTTATACGAAAGTCTTATACGAAAAATTCTCAATGATCTCATAAACAGCCATTTGTAAACGCTAAAATTAATATTATTATTATTATTATTATTATTTTATTATTTCTGTTGTTATTTTGTTATATCTTATTGTTTTTCTAGTATTATTTTATTACTCAGAAATTTTATAAAATAAATAAAAATTCAATAATAAAAATTTATACAAAAGTCGTATACGAAAAATTCCCAATGATCTCATAAATAGCCAATTGTAAACGCTAAAATTATTATTATTATTATTATTATTATTATATCTTATTATTTCTGTTGTTACTTTGTTATATTTTATTGTTTTTCTAGTATTATTTTATAATTCAGCAATTTTATTTATATTATTTATTAATTTTATTTTTATTATTATTTGCTTCTATTTTATATTAAATCATCATATTACGGATATTATTTTCATGTAAATTTTATCCTTTCGCACTCTTATCTTATCTATATATATAAAAATAGGCCGGGTTTTCTTTCCTGGCGAAATAACTCCAGAACGCACGAACCGATTTTGCATTCGTTGGAAAGGTCTCGGGCTCCGCAAGGTTTATAGCTAAGAAAATTAGTGGTGCATGGCATCGTGCCCTAATGCAAATTGCTGAAACTTCACGCACCGTAATTAAAAATTCGAGTAATGACATTAGTGAGAATTATCAGAATTATGCTTGGTTAAGTCAACAAGCAATTCTTGCCGCAAACAATAATTATGTACACGCACTGAATTTCACCATTCAATAAAAAATTGCTGGCGATTTGGTGACACACCAATGATTCCGACTGGTCTTCCGTCAGTTCGCCTTGCGTTCGCAATAACAAGTCGCAAGGCCAATCGCTTAGTGTTTGCGGGATAAATTTCAAATAGATTATTTAGAAAATCATGGTTTTTCACATGGGCAGTTATACGTTGCCTGTTCACGAGTTGAAAAACCATCCGCTTTGTTTGTGTTAACGTCAGACCAGAAAACAAAAAATGTGGTTTACCAAAGAGCACTTCAATAAAACGTATAATTGGCGGATTCACTTTCATTTACTTAGAGAAGTTCAGCTAAAAAACACTTCATTTTTGTAATCGAAATAAATTCATTACTGTTGTATAATAAAATCAAATTTTCAAATATAAAACAAACAAAACATTTCTTCATCTTTCTCAAGAAACCATCTGGTGGCGAAACGGAGTTCGTCGGGTTTGCTAGTTTATTTATTTATTTATATATATATATATATAAATAAATTGTAATAGTAATAAATATTATATTTATGCAAACTAGTCTTGATAATAATAATAAATTTATTAATAAAATAAAATTATAGCCAATAAATCAATAAACTTCCAATTTTTTTTTATCCTTTTAGGACTAATCTACGATTCTATAAGGCCTGGTTAGATTTAGAACGAAAGGAAAAATATAAGACATCTTTGGGTAGTATGGGGTGCTCTTAGGGTTGTCCTAGGGTGCTCCTGGGGTATTCCTGGGGTTGTCTTGGGGTGCTCCTGGGGTGCACCCTCGGTGCCTATTTTAAACACATCAGTATTCTCGAAGGCGCGTTAAAGGATTGCGCGATAAGGAAGACGAAGGACCTACAAGGAGGTTCAGGGAAAGGAGAAAAATTTTATAAAAAAGTAAAGTTTACACGCGATTGAAGTAAAACTTATTTGCTACAGTACAAAATGGCATTTAAGTAAAAAGAAATACATCCTGAAACAATTTTGAATATTGTCCATTAGTGATATGGTAACACTCGTGATGCACACATTTATTAGTGTCGACCATCACACACATTTATATAATGATGAATTAATTAAATATTTATAATAGCATTAAAAATTTACATGGTTCTTATAATGTTTATTACATAAATTTACCAAAAAAACCTGACGAACAGACATAAAGACGAACATATTGGTTGAGTTCTGGGACACCCTGCACATGTATATTGGTAAAAAATATAAATTGTATTTTTAAGCATTTGTTTTTGTTTTCTTAGTCCAACAATACCTATTTTGAATTTAAATTATTTATTAAACTGCAAAACTTGTACTCGTGGCTGCAAAAATTAAATATTGAGGTATGTCACGTACTTCTTTTATTTGCCATGAATAAAATAATATTTGAAGAGTTGTTTATAAGGATAAAATGCATTTTATACAGTACCCGTATCAAAATTCTGCTAACGATTATCATATAACATGTATTTCTTATAAGATACCTATACCATACTCACGTATGCCTAAACCTTGAATTCTATGTTGTACGCTTTTAACTAACTTATATAGTACGCCTAATACGCCTAATACGCCTAATACGCCTAATACGCCTACTACCCTATATTCATAATCCACCCAATATTATTCCGTATCTTACGCCTATAATGTTTCTTAAACGCTAATTTTTTCGAACCCTACCGGGAATCGAACCCGAGCCCTCTGCGTGGAAGGCAGCGACCTTAACCACTACACCACCGTGGCGGTACGATTTGACGTCTTTTTCCGCGTGTCGTCGCGTCACCTTAGTATTAGTATTAATTAATTAATTAATAGGTAAAGCGGAAAGAACAATGCTTCTCTTAATATATTATTTGTGGGGGACCCAATAGAGTAGTGGTTAAGGCTGTGGACTGCCACGCGGTGGTCCTGGGTTCGATTCCCGGTGTGGGCGATAGACAATAGAGTATACGGTATAGATACAATAGATAATAGATAAGCGTAAAATATAGCGTGTAGATGGTAGAATGTAAGGTTTGTAAGGGGTAAAAAGATATGTAGGGTATATCTTATATATAATAAGTTAATAGCAAATAATGATGAAGCGGTAGTAGATTTATATATAATACTAATGATCTTGGGTATCGTACGGTATGATTAGATAGGTAATAATTAGATTTAAGTCTTTTAACGTATTATAATAGGTCTTGGGTACTTTTATATAAAAAAGAGTGCGCGTAAGGATCATACATAAGTCACATCTTTTCCTCCAGCCTCTCTCAATCTCCTTGCCCGACTTTTCCGGTTGTGATGTATCAGTGTAATCTGGTTTATCGACTTCTTTTCGAACGGTTTGTCGGGGGGAGTGTTGTGGCGTTCTCTATATTTCCCTCTAACTACCGATAGCGCCACCGTACGATACTATACGACGGTTAGATAGTAAAGTAAAGCGTAATCAATACGACTTGACAACGAGTCGAATTGGAAAAAATTATATATATATATATATATATATATAATATGGATTTATAAAGCTGTGATAAAATTACCAATTTCCATTACGCAGCGAGATATTACTTTTTTGTGGAAACGTATTGCTTTTCAGATATTTTATATATATATATATATATATATATATATATATACATATATATACTAGATAACCCGATAGACGTTGTCCTGTACCCATGACTACAATTCAAAAGTTTCATTATTTTAATAACCTATACTGATATTTACCAATTAGATAAAAATTATTAAGTTTTTCAGGCTAAAGTCTATACCGAAATGTACATATATCCATATGGGTGATCTTAAATGTATATCTGCTTTAAATAAAATGATCGAACAAATTTATACGTCCGGAAGAGCTCATCAAAATTAACAAATGCAAAATAACAATGAATTATGCTTTGAAGCACCACCATTAATATTGGTTAATTACCCGAAATTTTGTTAGGAAACTTATTTTTTTTAATTTTATTTTCAAAGTATATATATTAAAGAATAACATACCAAAATTCTAGTTGTTTATTGTACGTGGTACGTCCTGTAGAGCTCATTAAAATTAGCAAATGCAAAATAACATTTAATTAGGTTTTGAAGCACCAACATCATTACTGGTTAATTACTCGAAATTTTGTTAGAGAACTTATTTTTTTAAATTTTATTTCCAAAGTATATATATATTAAAGAATAACATACCAAAATTCTAATTATTTATTTTGTATGGTACGTCCTGAAGAGCTTGTCAAAATTTACAATTGCAAAATAAGAATTAATTATGCTTTGAAGCACCAACATTGTTACTGGTTAATTACTCGAAATTTTGTTAAGAAACTTTTTTTTTTGTAATTTTATTTTCAAAGTATATATATTAAAAAGTAACATAGCAAAATTCTAATTGTTTATGTAGTATGATACGTCCTGAAGAGCTTTTTAAAATTTACAATTGCAAAATAATTAATTATGCTTTTAAGCACCAACATTGTTACTGGCTAATTACTCGGAATTTTGTTAGAGAACTTATTTTTTTTTAAATTTTATTCTCAAAGTATATATATTAAAAAATAACATAACAAAATTTTGATTGTTTATTTTGTATGGTACGTCCTGAAGAGTTCGTCAAAATTAACAAATGCAGTATAAGAATTAATTATGCTTTGAAGCACCCACATTAATATTAGTTAATTACTCGAAATTTTGTTAAGGAACATATTTTTTTTAAATTTTATTTCAAAGTATATATATTAGAATATAACATACCAAAATTCTGATTGTTTATTTTGTATGGCACGTCCTGAAGAGCTTCTTAAATTTACAATAGCATAATAACAATTAATTATGCTTTGAAGCACCAACATTGTTACTGGTTAATTACTCAAAATTTTGTTAAGAAACTTATTTTTTTTAAATTTTATTTTCAAAGTATATATATTAAAAAATAATACCAAAATTCTAATTATATATTTTGTATGGTACGTCCTGAAGAGCTTGTCAAAATTAACAAATGCATAATAACAATTAATTGTGCTTTGAAGGGTTGGTTAATTGCTCCCAACTACAAATATGCATTTAGTTACTATATCTCTTGTAACTTCTAAACAGTTCGTCCAATTCTGATAAAATATACGGCAAATTTGTTTAAAATTCAATAATCTATAATATTGTCTAATATTATAACGCCCTACAGCAACTAGGTATACTTTAAAAATAATTTTAAAGAATACCAACTCGTTTTGTTTTAGGTCTCACGCATTGTTTTAGTATATTTGCCATAACTTCTAAACCATTTGAGTAACTTGAATGATGTTTTTAAAAAAAATGTGTGAAATTAAATTATCTACAACATTGTCTAACATCAGATGATCCTAAAATAACGCGGTATATCCATAAAACGCTCCAGAACAAAAAGAAATTTTCACTCCTTCAATTCCTTTTCTTTTAAATTCCTTAATAAGTCTTCAGTGCACGAGTAAATCCAACAACTTGTACAAATCATCCCTTATACTTGTATAATAATTTTCTAACAATTTTAAGGGCTTATATTCTGTTTTTCTAGAACTTTCTAGAACATTTCACCGCCGACGTTATTGGCTTTTAATATAAATATATAATAACATCAGTGGGTTGGAAATAGGTGGAATGGGTTGAAATGGGTTCGAGAGTGTATGGGAATGGGTTTATAGAGAAAAATAAAGGTTTTTCCAGCTCGTGTACGAGGTTTTTCCTTTGTGGAAAACGACTGAGTTAACTCGTTATTTACACTACGTTAGATTAGTAAAGAAAATTTATTATTTAAAAAGAAAATTAAGGTAAAATTTATTTTTTATGAGTATACCGGGTTGATGTAGGACATTTTGTTGTTAGACAATATTGAAGATTATTTAATTTTGAACAAATTTGCCAAATATAGTGTTTAGTTTGCACTTTTAGTTTTGAAGATAAAAATTATCGAATAACTAAAAGCACCTTTACCTAATTAGTTACACTCACAATTAGGTCTTTCACATTCTTAAGTTTGTTTGCAAGTTTTCAAACGCTATTTTAAAGTACACCGAGTTGTTGTAGAGCATTTTGATGTCAGACAATGTTGAAGATGATTTAATTTGGAATAAATTCGCCAAATACATAATTAATATATCTTGAACCGTTCAAAAGATATATATTTTCTAACGAATAAATGTACTTTTGCAAAATAAGTCTAATACCAGGAATATATGGGAGATGAAATTTGAATTTATCTGTATTATTTTTATAGAATTTTTTTAAGCATGTCTTTTATTGATAAGAAAGGTTTTCCTTTTGTACAGATATATTTATATTACAAGGACGAAACTAAAAGCCTATGTCTATCTATGGAATTGTATATCGATCGTTTTTGTTGGATATTTATGCTATTTGCAGAGCATTTATGATTTTATTTCTTTCCGAAAACATGTATTTGAATAAATTACATATGTACATTTATATATATATATATATATATATATATATATATTTATACTAGATAACCCGAGAGGCATTGTCCTGTACCCATGGCTAAAATTCAAAAGTTTAATTTTTTTAATAACCTATACTGATTTACCAATTAGTTAAAAATTATTATGTTTTTTACACTACAGTCGGTATATATATATATATATATATATATATATTAATATATATACTCTGAAAATAAAATTAAAAAAAAAATATGTTTCCTAACAAAATTTCGAGTAATTAACCAGTAACAATATTGGTGCTTCAAAGCATAATTAATTGTTATTTTGCAATTGTTAATTTTGATGAGCTCTACAGGACGTACCGCGTACACTAAATAATTAGAATTTCAGTATATTATTTTTTAATATATATACTTTGAAAATAAAATTAAAAAAAATAAGTTTTCTAACAAAATTTCGAGTAATTAACCAGTAAAAATTTTGGTGCTTCAAGGCATAACCAATTGTTATTTTGCAATTGTAAATTTTAAAAAGCTCTTCAGAACGTACCATACAAAATAAACAAAATTTTGGTATGTTATTTTTTAATATATATACTTTGGAAATAAAAATAAAAAAAAAAGTTTCCTAACAAAATTTCGAGTAATTAATTAGTAACAATATTGGTGCTTCAAAGCATAATTGTTATTTTGCATTTGTAAATTTTGACGAGCTCTTCAGGACGTACCATATAAAATAAACTATTGGAATTTTGGTATGTTATTTGTTAATATATATACTTTGAAAATGAAATTAGAAAAAAATAAGTGCCCTAACAAAATTTCGAGTAATTTACAATTAACTCCAACAATCGCTACTATTTTGATAAAATATATAATAATACTTGTTTTTATAAAACCCTCAGTGTTCTAGTTTTTCCAGCACTTTTATTTATGACTAGTATTTTCTTAGGTAGACATTTTGCAGTATATTTCTGGGAAATAAGTAGAAAATCGTAAAAATGTTATTACCGGGCAATGAAAATGTCAAGGAGTTAGATTTATTCCATTTCTGCAAACAAATTTGAATAAAACCGACACGAAAGGGATATATATATATATATATATATATATATATATATGTGTGTGAATATATATAATATATATATATATATATATGTATATGTGACGTCATTTATATATCAGATCATTTTCGTTTAAACGTATATATTAAATTTATAATAAATAAATTGCATAAATTTCCTAAGCTGATTTTTTCTATTTATATTTGAGTAAGGTATAAATGAGTGCAAGCTCATTCATCATATACATAAACCAAATTTATCCGGTACATGAACCTCTCATAGGTTCTACACCTTACTACGACTACTAGCGCCACACAATATCGTTCAAGAGAACTACTAACTATATATATGATTTTTTTTATTTTTTTTTATTCACTCACCTATCATTTTAGGATAGGCCAAATTCAAATTGGCCATCAATTCTACGAATTCGTCTTCGGTTTTTGTCATCCTCGGGTTATGTCGTTTTTCTTCGCCGACAGACGTTACGGTGTTACCTTTGTAGTCATGAGCAGGATACAAAAGATAGTGTTCTGGCAAAGACAAAATCACCTGAAATAGTAATAATAAGTATACCGAGTTGTTGTAGAGTGTTATGTTGTTAGACAATATTGTAGATAATTTAATTTTAAACAAGTTTGCCAAATATTTTATTCAATTTGATCGAATAGTTTTCAAGTTATGATAAATTTACTGAAGCAATGCACTTTATTAATAAAATAATGATGATGCGTATAGTTTTAATGTCCAATATTGGTTTTAAAGTATACCGAGTTGTTGTAGAGTCTCATGTTGTTAGACAAAGTTGTAGATAATTTATTTTTAAAGAAATTTGCCGAATGTTTCATTAGTATTAGATCAATAGTTTAAAAGTTACAAGAGATATAACAAATAAATCTAAGATTTTTTAACAAATACCTCGTGTACATTTCTATAGAGAGCCCTCGAATCACCTCCTTGAAAATCTGTTCTTCCACAACCACGTACTAAAAGGGCATCTCCAGTGAAAACCATTGCCTAAAAATAAAATTAATTATCATAAAATGTTAAATAACATAAGGCACAATGCCATACACCACTAGTTTAAATTATTATCCTTTAGCATAAACTAAATGCATTGATTACATGCACTAAATGAATCTGTCAAAGTGTGAATAAATTATTTTTTATTAATGCTGTATAATTTTTTTGATTTTTGTCAAATAACTCAAAAATTTCATATGAAACCATCCCTTTTCAGTTAGATAGGGTGAAATTAGATAAAATATACTACATTTTCTAGGAAACACTTTTATACACTCCGATATAAAAGTTTTGAATGGTAATAAATAAATATATAAATTATATTCTATATAAATATCTACATTGATCAATAGGGAAATGAATTGAATAGAACGAATTAAAATGTATTATAAACGAATTAGTAAATAAAAAAATAATTTATCTAATGAATAAATGAATTATATATATATATATATATATATATATATATATATATATATAATATAAATAAATAAATGAACTACTTATTAATTGATTAAAGAAATAAAATAAATAAATTAACATTTAATTAAATAATCAAAACGAATATAAATCATAAAATGCCTAAAATATTATATTTTCGTTTTTAAGTGGAACCATTTTCTATTTTTTGTTATTCAATTTTACTTAAAAAATGTCGTATTTTTTGAATTAATTAACATCAAGTGTGGAACAGGCTTACAGCGCTAAAGCCGATATCACACTCTACCGGCGCCATATAAAGTCATAATCAACCGTCATATACAAAAGGTCAAGTGTCGATACGGCCTTAGGCTAAAGCGTGTAGCACGCTATGCAATTTAAATAAAATTTTATTTATTTTTCATAAAGTGGTATTTTCGTAATGGTAGAGAAAACCTTATTAAAAAATATTACACATATTGTAATATTAATTAATAAACTTCCTTTAGAGTAAGTTATAGTACTTGCACAAAAATCAAACACGAGAATTAAATTGAGAAGGTGTTTGAATATTTTGGGATACCTTAGAAAAAATGGAGGTGTTTTTTTATTTTATCAATATAATTTTTTGTATAGCACGGGTCAACCGATTTGTATTATTCGAAAAATATTTGATTTTTATTGATAAAAAGGCGTGTTGATTAATTTGTGTTAAAGCTCACTTATATACTTCAAATAAATAATTTTAACTTTGCAATTCAGTTTATATAATCGTTAAAAATATGAGATGAGTTTAAATATAAACTTCTTGATCCAAATTATAAGCTCTTATATTTAGTCTATAATATTCGCACAATAAATATCTATTTGAAAATAATATTCCACAAATATTTTATTACAGTACGGGAGGTTTCAGAAATTTACCTCAAGGTATGATGCCATACACCACTAGATAATTTAACTTAGCACAATTTTGCAGAATATTTCATTCAATTTGGAGGAACGGTTCAAAAGTTACAAGAGATATAATAAAGAGTAAACCAATGGGTTGCAGAACAATGGTTCAAGACTTTGTGACATCAAATATAGGCATGTGTGGTATCAAATGAAAGGTCTCGACAAGCACTAAACAAATATCATAGTAATAAACTAAACGAACGTCACAATGTCTATTTTGGCAATATTAAAATATACAAAATTGATGTAAGGTAATAGTATGTTAGATGATATTATTTATAGATGCTTTTAATTTAGAACAAATTTACCGAATGAACTATTTACTTTGGACAAACGGTTCAAAAGTTACAAAAGATTTAATAAAAATTAAACCAATGAGTTGCAGAGCTCGTGATCAAATATTATTTGAACTTTTATAAAGGTCGTCGTCCAATTTGTAAGCTCTTATATTTTAAGTACAAAATACGAATAATGTAAGTTACATTTATATGAATCTTTTTGAGAACTTTTAGTATACTTTGAATATTTTATTACAGTACGGGAAGTTCCAGCAATTTGCCTTAAGGCACGATGTCATGCACCATTAGTTTCTTATACATTCAGTTCTTATATATTTATTTTATTTTTAAAAAGTGGTATTTTGGAAAGGATAGACCAAATCTTATTTAAAAAATGTCACACATATTGATCATTAATTGATAAACTTTCTGTAAGTGAGTTATAGTATTTGAAAAAAAATCTAGAATGAAAATTTTTGCATATCTTCACGTTTCAACGGTTACTGAACATTTTTTGCTTAACTGAATAACTCTCACCTGCCTATGTAAAATATAACTCATACATCCAACTGTATGGCCAGGAGTGGCCCTTGCCAAAAGATCTATTGACCCAACACGCAAAATGTCCCCATCTTTCAGGAATTTATCGGCTTGTGCGCCACTGGCTTCACTGATCACGGATTTTGTTCCGGGTAAAAGCTGTTTCAAAAATCCGGTTCCAGTTATGTGATCGGCGTGAACATGAGTGTTAACTAGAAGAAATAAGAATCATTAGTAACTAGTGGTGTATGGCATCGTGCCTTAAGGCAAATTGCTGGAACTTCCCGTACCGTAATGAAATATTCCAGAAATTTTAAACGTCGTATTACAAATACTGTAACTTTCATTATTTTTGCATTATCTTGTTATATCTGAGCAAATCAAATGTAAATCATAAATAAATCAATTTATCTCTAGAACATTAACAATGTAAGAGGGAAAAAAGACTAATTTAAGGGCTAAAATAGTTCTGTTATGGTACCAGTTGCAAACTGTCCAAAAACTATGTCTCAACAAATATTATATTCTTATACTTGTACCATTTGGAGGTTAGGATTTAGGCCAGTAACATAACAGAACTATTTTATTACTACTTTGACTTCTATAAATTTGTATATATAATTTTTTTTTTCTTGCACGATGTCACACATGCCTTGTCGAATGTAAATAATAAATAGTTAAAACATTTATTATTTTTTTGGCAAGAAATTACTCTAAATGCCTAGGTAGTCTAAAGAAGTTTTACTTCAAAATTTTAAGTGGTACCTTTTATGGCATGTGAGGTATCGTTTGAAAGGTCTCGACGAGTAGAAAACGATTTATGTAAAAAAATGATTGTCGTAATCAAAACATTATATACATAAATTAGAACGTTATTATTTATTGATAGTATTAGCATAATTATATCGCAAACAATATTAGAATGTCAAATTTTATTGAAAAACTGTTTAAAACATGTACGTGCAGAACTTTTGTACCGAATACTAAAATTAACTAGATCGTTTGTCCACAAAATGTAGCCCTTTAATGAATTTTTAGAAAACGAGCTTAAAGAAGTTTTACTTCAAAAAATTTAGATTGTATCTTTTAGGGCATGTGGGGTATTGTTTGAAAGGTCTCGACGAGTAAAAAACGATTTCTACAAAAAACCCAAGCTTTATATATTATCACAATTATATCGCGAACAATATTAGAATTATCATTTCATTTCGAATTCAATTTCAACAAAAAAAATAATAAAAGTTGCTTAATTTACACAAAATTGAAAAAGTGCTCCGGCATAGTCACAGTCTAAACGCATTTGCAAATAATTCTGTACGACATTTTCACTTATAATGCGCTTAGCTTGATGGCATTTTCACATTTTTCAATAGTTTTTCACAAAATTGGAAAAGTGCTTCAGTACCAAACAGTCTAAACGCACTTGGGTAAACATTTGTACCAGAGTGGCGCTTAGACTGTACTTAACCTGGGCAATTTTTTCAATTTTTAATCCAAAATTACAAAAATATTTTATGGAAAATAAAAAAAGATGTAATAATTTTTTATCTTCAAAAGCAATTGTTTTGTCAATACAAGCAGAAAGTTTTTTTAGATCATTCAAATCGGACGCTTAGTTCACTCAAAAACTGCCATTTTTTGCACATTTAGCTCTGTACTCCGAAACCGCTGGACCTGCCTTTGCTAAAAACTAATCACGAAACTAATTTTCAGGCTACTCACTTGCATATTTCAAAGTAAGTCCCAATTCTTCGACGAGCTGTTTATCCCTTTTGGCCTGTTCCAAAACTGGGTCAATTATTAGGGCCTCTCTGGTTTCCGTATCGGCTAAAAGGTAGGTGTACGTGCTACTCGTGGAATCGAACAACTAGAAAAGAAATAAACCAAATTAGAAATCGAGTTTTTGGGAGAACGGAGTATCCGATTTGAATGATCTAAAAACATTCAATTTGTAATGATTGGGAGAAGAGGTGATTAGTTTTTGGCAAAGACAGGTCTCGCCATTTTGAAGATACAGAGCTAAATGTGCAAAAAGTTCAGTTTTTGAGTGAACTAAGCGTCCGATTTGAATGATTTATAAAACTTTCTGCTTGAATTGGCAAAACAATTGCTTTTGAGGATAAAAAATTATTACATCTTTTTTCATTTTCCATAAAATATTTTTGTAATTTTGGATTGAAAATTCAAAAAATTCACCAGACTAAGCACAGTCTAAGCGCCACTCTGGTACAAATGTTTACCCAAGTGCGTTCAGACTGTTTATTTACTGGAGCACTTTTCCAATTTTGTGAAAACTATTGAAAAATGTGAAAATGCCGCCGAGCTAGGCACAGTATAAGTGAAAATGTCGCACAGAATTATTTGCAAATGCGTTTAGACTGTGACTGTACGGGAGCACTTTTTTAATTTTGTGCAAATTAGGCAACTATTTTATGATTTGAAATTGAATTCAAAATGAAATGATGATTCTAATATTGTTTGCGATAATTGTGATTATATATAAAACTTGGTTTTTTTTGTAGAAATCGTTTTCTACTCGTCGAGACCTTCCAAACGATACCCCACATGCCATAATAAATACAATCTAAATTTTTTGAAGTAAAACTTCTTTAAGCTCGTTTTCTAAAAATTCATTAAAGGGCTGCATTTTGTGGACAAATGACTTAGTTAATTTTAGTATTGGCTACGAAAGTTTTATACCTCAAATAAATAAACTATCATTAAATAATAACATTCTAGTTTATGTATATAATGTTTTGATTGCGACAATCAGTTTTTTACATAAATCGTTTTCTACTCGTCGAGACCTTTCAAACGATACCTCACATGCCATAAAAGGTACCACTTAAAATTTTGAAGTAAAACTTCTTTAGACTACCTAGGCATTTAGAGTAATTTCTTGCCAAAAAAATAATAAATGTTTTAACTATTTATTATTTACATTCGACAAGGCATGTGTGACATCGTGCAAGAAAAAATATATATACAAATTTATAGAAGTCAAAATTGTAATAAAATAGTTCTGTTATGTTACTGGCCTAAATCCTAACCTGCAAATGGTACAAGTATTAGAATATAATATTTGTTAAGACATAGTTTTTGGACAGTTTGCAACTGGTACCATAACAGAACTATTTTAGTCCTTAAATCAGTCTTTTTTCCCCCTTACATTGTTAAGGGATAAATTGATTTATTTATGATTTGCATTTGATTTGCTCAGATATTACAAGATAGCAAAAATAATTAACCTTACAGTATTTGTTATTAACGTTTAAAATTCCTCGAATATTTCATTACGGTACGGAAAGTTCCAGCAATTTGCCTTAAGGCACGATGCCATGCACCACTAGTTATATTATAGATTATCTTTTATCTTTTACCTGTCTAAAGATAATGCCTCTTCCACTATCGTAAGGTGAATCGTTATTCACACAAACTTCTGGAGCCATTTCTGGGTTCACTTTTAATTCTGATAAAATCGCAAAGAGAGCAAAAATCACACTGAACATCCTTCTAGATGTCTTCGAACTTATTAAGACACAAATACTAATACCGATGATGATTTTTTTTATTTAAAGACAATGGCAATATTAATAACAATAATAATAATAATAATAAAATTGTTAACAACTGCCTTTGTGGCGTAGTTTAGATTTTTCGAACAATTGATTGTATCACCATCGAACGATTTATAAATGTTATTATTAGTAAATAATTAGTTTAAACAATCGATTGTATGTGGTTTGTAAATATAAACAAATTGGTGAATGATTTTCGATTGTTGGCATGTTTTAAATACGTAAAAAAACTAGTCTAACTGAAAAGGGGTGGTTTCATACGAAATTTTTGAGTTATTTGACAAAAATAAAAAAAATGACCCGAATTTTTTATTTATAAGAAATAATGAAATATCATCGAATTCAGAGTCGTTTTATTCAAAACTTTTATATCGGAATGTATAAAAGTGTTTTCAAGGAAATGTTGTAAATTTTATCTAGTTTCACCCTATCAAACTAAAAAGGGGTGGTTCCATATGAAATTTTTGAGTTATTTGACAAAAACCAAAAAATGACCCGAATTTTCTATTTATTTATTGCTAAAGAAGGAAATATTGAATTCAAAGTCGTTTTATTCAAAACTTTTATATGAGAGTATATATAACTGTTGACATGGAAATTTAGTAAATTTTATCTAGTTTCTGCCAAGTTAATAAAAAAAGAGTCTAAGTACAAAGTTTTGAATTATTCAAAAAAAAAACGTAGAAAAATGTCCCGAATTTTAGGCTTCAAATAAAAAAATACTTTCTAAATTCAAATACTACAATTATCTCACCTAGTATCTAAATTTAGTATTATCAGGAAATAGATATAAATTTAGCAAAACCAAAACAAATATTTGTTTTTTTTTCAATCAGTAGATAAAAAAATTATGAATGATGAAATAGATAATGAATATGATGTCATATCATATTTAATTATCTAATTATCATAACTAATTGTCTGTAATATATATATATATATATATATATATATATATATACATATACATATATTTAATTATTATCATTAACTAATCCAATATGGATAATTAAATTATCTAAGAATTACCTTATCAATATTAATGAAGAAGTGATAAGAGAACTTTGTAGGAAGTCACGATTAGTCAGCGCCAATTTTACGCATTTATTTATTCAATCACTTGTAACTTTTAAACTATTATTAAAAACTAACTAGTGTTTTTGGCAAATTTGCACAAAATTAAATAATGAACAAGATTGTCTAACATTGTAGGACTCTACAACAACTCAGAGACAATAAAAAATTAAATATATTCTCGCTGTACCTAAGGTGCATTTATAAAATTATTTATATCTTCTAGAGTATTCATTTAAAGTAACTTGGGTATTTGGGAAATTTGTTTAAAATTCAATAATAAACAACATTGTCTGACATCCCGGGACTCTACAGCAACTGGGTATACTACAAAATCGCAATTGAAATGATTTAAAAATTTGGTGCATATAGTTTGTAATTTTTAAATTATAAATGGGAACTAAATAGTGTTTTCGGATAATTTGTGCAAAATTAAATAATAAACAACATTGTCTGATATCATAATGACCTAGGACGACTCGGTATACTCTAAAATTAATAACAATAGAAATTGACTACTAATTTAGCTGGAGTACAATTATATAAGAGTACTAATTTAGCTGGGGTGCAATTATTCAAGAAAAAAATCATAACTCTTAAAGTAATTGTTCGATTCAAATAATCTTTTAGGAAAAAATATGCAAAATGAAATAATCTACAGAATTGTCTAACATCACAAGAACCTACAACAACTCGGTATACTTATAAACTTAATAAACCTAATAAACAATATATTATACTAATACAATTATTTCGGTCAATTAGTTCATACGCACTGCAAACCACACGTACATAATAAATAATTCATATCTTCTAAACTATTTGTATAAACTAAATCATGTATTTGACAAATTTGTTTAGAATAAAATAATCAACAATATTGCCTAACATCATAAGAACCTACAACAACTCGGTATACCCATAAAATGCATCAGATGGTAATATTAAGTTGTCAAATATCTCCCTTCCGCTTTTTTGCTCTTGGTTTATAATACAAAAAGGCGGAAGGGAGATATTTGACAACCTTATAAATGCATTTTTTGCTCTGTATTATATTGAAGAGAAAGTTTAGTATAAAAAATCTCAACAATTATATATATATATATATATATATTATATCCTTTACCTGTCTAAATAAAAACCCTTCCATCCTTCCACCAAATTGTGACAAATTTCTGACTCGATTTTTAAGAAAACAATTCCCCGAAATTGTTTTACACACACTCGAAACTAAAGAATTTATCATTTGTATTCTGTTCGTACACGAATAATAATTATATATGTATATAATCGATGAAAGTTATGAATATTAATGATTTTCGAGGTTAATTCCACCATGGAATGATTCTGACAAGAATCTGACAGGAATCCAACTTGTTGAATTGGAATGGTGGCGGAGTCTGGTGGGAAAATGGTGGGAATGGTTTGGATAAATGCTCAAACAAGGTTTGGATAAATGATTATTAAGTTATAGGTTTATATATATATATATTAAAATTATATATTATAATATTGTATGTCTGTCATTTGAATATAACGGCCAAGAGTGTCTATCCTGACGTGTATGTGCTCTATGGTGTGTCATATGTAGAGTGTCTGATCCCTTACGGAACAGAAGTATGTATCTGTGTGCGAGTCGGTGTCTGGCGGTAACTTGGGTGTTGAACAGTTCGGCGTTGTGTTAATTTGGTGGATTATTAAATGTATTTGTATGAAGTAAAAGGTGTTTTATTAATAAATTAATGCTAGAATAAAGCTAGCTTAAAGCTCAGAAGTGGGATTGGATCAAAACGTGGAGAATTTTATTAGAGAACATTATTGGTGTGGATTATTGAAATAGGCGATTTCAGTAATCTTTTTTTGGAGTGCCCGTGTTATTAATCAGGCGGATTATAATTACGGGGTGCGATAGAAAGCAAGGTGTGCTTCGCTATCGTACAAGTGCGGGTGTTATTTTGTAAGTTTTGTAAGTTTTGTGTGTTTGTGTGTTGTGCTAAAGTGAGGTTAGCACGTGGGTAACCAAAATAAGAACAGAGTGGAGAGAAAATATCAAAAGTAGTGCGTAATATTGACGTTGGCGAGTCGCGGAGCTGCGATGTGTGTAATTAAAAACTGGAGATTGCGGAAATAAAATAAGATTTGGTGAGATGGCTACTGGTGGTGATGCTGAGAGCTTGGTGCCCGAAGCCTTAAGAGTGCTATCGTTGACGGACTTGATTAATCTTATTAGGGCGACAACCAGTAATAAAAACGATAGCATCTCGAGCAGCGAGTGGTTGGCGACGATACCGATATTCGACGGGTCGTCTGAGCAATGCATCGAGGCGTGGTTTGAACGGGTTGAGACCGTCCGGGATGCATACGAGGTGCCTAAGAAAAAGATGGCGGTGCTGATAACATCGAAGCTGTCGGGGCGGGCGAGGCGATTATATGACAGCAAGGCAGAGTATGCGACATATTCATACGACGAGCTGAAGAGGGTGCTAACAGCGTTTTTCAAAAATGGAGAAGACAGGATGACTAGAATGAAGCGCTTTGAGTCTCGGAGGTGGCGAAAACAGGAACCGTTTAGCGCATACTTTCAGGAGAAGATGGCGCTAGGGAATAGGTTGGGTTTTATGGAGTCCGATCTACTGGCTTATATGATAGACGGCTTCGACAACCCGCCACTCCAGGCTCAAGCCAAGATGAGCCAATTTAAGGATTTAGCAACTCTGCTAGGTGTAATGAATGAGTTGACAGCGGAGGAACGCGGATGCAATATGATGCCGTCTACGAGGGTACAGCCAACAGTGTTTCCTAGAGTGGAAACACAAGGCACATATCCTACGGTGAGGTGTTTTAATTGTGGCGGAGTGGGACATATGGCGTCCAGGTGCATCAAACCGAAGAACGATGGAGTGGCGTGCTACGACTGTGGCTCAAAGGAGCATCAGCAGAGATTCTGCAAAAATGTCCGGAGTACGGCGCAGGTGGCACCTGACAGCACTACATTTCGAGTTAACGAAATATTGGCGATTGATGGTGAGATTACCACAGACGGAGCGAATATAAGTATATCAGATGAAAATGACTACGAAGTAGAAGACCTGGAGAGTGAAAAACCGGAGGAACCAGAGACTGCATTCGAAATGCATGACTATGGAGTGATAGCGACAGCAGAAGATCTGGTAGAAAAGGAATATCTGGAGAGTGAAAAACCGGAGGAACCAGAGACTGCATTCGAAATGCATGACTATGGAGTGATAGCGACAGCAGAAGATCTGGTAGAAAAGGAATATTTGGAGAGTGAAAAGCCGGAAGAAACAGATACTGCATTCGAAATGCATGGCTATGGAGCGATAGCGACGGCAGAAGATTTGGAGACTGAAAAACGGGAGGAGCCAGAGACTGCATTTGAAATGCATGGCTATGGGGTGGTCGCGACAGTAGGAGATCTGGTAAGAGAGGAATATTTGGAGACTGAAAAACGGGTGGTGCGCGATTCTTACCCCAGCCCAAGAATAGATGATTGCTTGGACTCACCGAAGTCTAAGAGGTATTTTACGAAGCTAGATCTGGAGAACGCTTTCTTTCATGTGGTGGTGGCTGAGACTAGTAGAAAATACACTAGCTTGGGGTGTGCACAGGGAGAATATGAATACAACCGTATGCCATTTGGGTATTGTAATAGCCCGAATGTATCTATGAGATATGTAAGTGACATTTTTCGTTGTTTTGTGATGAACTGTGAAGTTATAGTGTACATGAACGATTTACTAATGGCCACAGAAACAATTGAGGAGAATATTGAAGTGTTGCGTAGGGTGTTAGAGATGATTCGTAGAAATAAGCTAGAACTAAAATTAAATAAGTGTATAAAAATAATAGGCGTATAAGGACAATAAGTGATGGCGACAAAGTTGGTAGAGACAATAAGTGAATGAAATATGATTTATGTTGTAATGGTTTATGATTTATGTTGTAATGGTTTTATGATTTGTGTTGTAATATTAGATTTAGATTACTGTTGTATTAGATCTCATCAGTCGGGGACGCCTGTGAGGTCAGGATTGGCCGAACTATAATATTGTATGTCTGTCATTTGAATATAACGGCCAAGAGTGTCTATCCTGACGTGTATGTGCTCTATGGTGTGTCATATGTAGAGTGTCTGATCCCTTACGGAACAGAAGTATGTATCTGTGTGCGAGTCGGTGTCTGGCGGTAACTTGGGTGTTGAACAGTTCGGCGTTGTGTTAATTTGGTGGATTATTAAATGTATTTGTATGAAGTAAAAGGTGTTTTATTAATAAATTAATGCTAGAATAAAGCTAGCTTAAAATATATATAAATTATTATTATTTATATTTTATTGTATTTTGTTACTTTGTTTTATTACTCTGTTTTTTTTTTTAGCTGAATGATGAGCTAACAGAATAGCTCGAAACGTACTAAAAAGATTTATATTTACGTTCTGGTTTTATTTTTCGACTTGTGGCTGCAAAACTGTATCATAATATATATATATATATATATATATATATATATATATATATATATATATATGGTTCTGAGTGTCCTAACAAGAAAGTCTTGATATGTAGGCTTGCAAAAAATCTTGAGGAAATTTGTTGAGTCTTGAAACTTGTAGAATATTTGAAAATCAGTGTCTTGAGAAAGACAAAAAATCTTGATTATTTTATGTTGAAATTGTCCAATTTTTCAGCCCTTGGATTATATTTTAGTCTTTCTTATATTTCCTCGAGATTTTTTGCAAGCCTACATATCAAGACTTTCTTGCTAGGACACTCAGAACCAATACTACACTGAAGTTACAAATTCAAGATTTTGATCATTTTCAAGAACTTTTACAAGGGTTTTTTTAATTTGTAACAACATGAATTTTCAAAACAACTATAATTTCACGATTTTATATATAAATAGTGCTCTCTATACAAATAAGCACGGAAGATGGGTCAAATCAAGACCCGAAACGTATGTTCTCTAAATAAAAACATTTTTCAATAAAACTGTTTTTTAATTATTGGATGGATGCCCAAGAAACAATTTTATCATATTATTTCACCATCTGAAGAAAAACCTCTCGCTTTATATACATATATATATATATATATATATATATATATATATATATGTATATATATATATATATATACATATATATACCATATATATGCTAACTAATGCAAACACTCTAATATATACAAAATAAAAAATATATACAATATAAATACACTGATGTAAATAATAAGTATAAAAACACTAAAGAATCGGGATGTTTTACTACATTTTTTTCAAATTTCTTGAAAACTTTGTACCGGGTACTCTTTATTTATCTACTTAGCAGAAACTAGATAAAATTTACTACGTTTCCATTAAAACAGGTATATACAGTCCGATATAAAAGTTTTGAATAAAACGACTTTGAATTTGACTTTTCATTCTTTAGCATAGAAAATTCATTCTTTAGCATAAAAAATAAGAAATATAAATACACTGATGTAAATAATAAATATAAAAAGACTAAAGAATCAGGACGTTCTTCTACATTTTTTAAATATCTCGAAAACTTTGTACCGGGTACAAAATTTTGGTTTTTGTCAAATAACTCAAAAATTTCATATGGATGTCCAGCTTTTATCGTAAGATGAGCATGTACAAAGAAACTATTTTATTTAAATGAAAATATAAAAAATATTCGTATTAGGATAAATCTATGCGATAATCTTATATTTATAAATATTAGATAAAATAATAATAATAATAAAATAATAAAAAAACTACGATAAAAGCTTGACAGAAAATATGTTACAAGAAATACTGGCGCCGTGAGCACCTGGCTTAATAAACATAAAAGTATGAACTATTAAATTGAAGCCGTTTCAAGAATATGAAAATTATTTTCACTGTTTTAAAATAAAGTGAAAACCTTTCAGGCAAGAATAATACTACCGAATCAGTTTGATAGAGTGAAACTAGATAAAATTTACAATATTTTCTAGGGAACACTTTTATACAATCCGGTATAAAAGTTTTGAATAAAATGACTTTGAATTTGATATTTCATCATTCTTTAGCAATAAATAGAAATTTCGGGACATTTTTTTTTGGTTTTTGCCAAATAACTCAAAAATTTCATATGAAACAACCATTTTTCAGTTAGATAGGTGAAACTAGATAAAATTTACAACATTTCGTAGGGAATACTTTTATACAGTACTATATAAAAGTTTTGAATAAAACGACTTTGTAATCAATTTTTTGATAAAATCTACTATAAATCCACGTAAAGAAATATATACACTCCTTCATAAATGTTGCGAATAAAACGAGTTTGAATTCCGATTTATGTATAATAAATAATTGCCCAACCACAACTCCCACATACATTATCTACATTCAAATGCAATTTGAAAGTATACCGAGTTGCTGTAGAGACTTTTCATATTAGAACGAATTATAGATTATTTGATTTTAAACAACTTTGCTATATATTTCTTTTCTATTAAACAAACCTTTCAAAAGTTACAAGGGATATAATAAATAAATGCATGATATACTAAGCATAAAATACTAAAATCTGTATAAATTTTTAAACCAATAAAAAATAATAATGATTAATTATTATTATTCTAGTTATTATTATAATTTATATTACGCGACTCACAGATTGACATTTGCTGGTTTTTAACGAAAATACAAAATGGCGTAAACTGTCAAACGAGCTGTCAAATGTCAATAGAGGTTAATATTTACATTTTGAGCGTTTTTTGAATTAAAAAGCAACTAAAATAGATTCTTAAGGTGTTTTAAATAGTATTTAATTAATATTAAATGTGTATTATACAAATTGTGTGCATTAAATGAAATTTATACGTGTAATCAGATATTTATGTTATGTAGGTTAGGATTTGCAAGATTACTATTTGTACGTGTTTTGGTGATTAAAAAGCACTTGTAATAAGTTTTCAAGACATTGTATACATTATACAATAAGTATTAGGTACGTATTCAACAAATTTTAGTTAAATTTAATTTAAATATGTAATCAGATATTCTTGTCTTGTAGGTTAGGTTAGCAAAAAAGGCTCCAGGCATTTATCTAGTACTAGTACTGTTATATATTTTACATGCACAATGTTAACTTCATTCATCTTACCTTCAAAACTGGACACGTTGTCCCAAAAGATAGTCTTATTCAACTCCACCTTCTCGATACTATGTTACACATTCCTGTACTTCATTCTGCAATATTCAGATTACAATATATATACTTTAGGGTCCTCCAAATCCTGGCCCATAATCTTTTTCATATTCATTCAAGAAAGTATAAAAACTATCTATAAACATATACAAGGTGATACCAGTCGTGACTTTAAGTTACTCAAAGGCAGCAGGAAGGTTACGTCCAGGAGATTCAGGGTTAAAGATTTATTTTTTGCTTCTGTTTTGTTGCTGGTGATGTATGTAAGTTTTTGTGCCTTGTGTGTGTTACTGGGGGCACCTTTCTTGACTAAACATGAAGAAACATTGTGGTTTTCTTTGTTGCTGGTGATTCTTGGAGTTTTTTATATGATTTCCACGCTTGGATGTGAAGGGACTTTGAATATACTCTTTGGGGGCAAACAAATATTCAGCGATGGGTAAGATATGAACTACTTTTTGCATTACTTACAATACATTGATGTATTTGTTTTAGTATGTCCGAGTACCATAGACAAAGAGTCTTCCTGACTCTTGCAGGAGCCTGGTGTGGCACGTTTGCAGTACCCTTGGACTGGGATAGGGCTTGGCAAAAGTATCCGATAACTGTTTGTTTAGGAGCCCTTGTTGGAAACTTTGCAAACGATGTGTTTAGTTTAATCAGCATTGTTTATCCGGCTTGTAAAGGATTTTATGCTAAGAAATGGAAGAAAGTTAAATAAATAAATATGATATATATATATATATATATATATATATATATATATATATATATAATGTAAATTGATACCAAAAAGTATTCAATAAGTTAGTATAATAATTTAAGTAATATATTAATTTGTATAAATTTAATATATAAATATAGTCAATTTTGTAGATGAAGTACTGTTTTTGATATTTACTACTTTAATTATGTTTTCAGAGTATACTGAGTTGTTGTAGGGTTTTATATTGTTGGACAATATTGTTTATTATTTAATTTTGCACAAATTTCCCAAAGACACCTTTTAAATTCTGTAAATAATTTAAAAATTTTAAATTTTTAAATAAATAAATGCACCTTGGCTAAATTAGAAATATTATGATTAAATTTGATAGTATTGGATTAATTTTTGTATAAAATATGAATATATGATTAAATTTGAGTTTAGCTAGTTGTAGGATCTTATATTGTTAGACAATGTTGTTTATTATTTAATTTTGCACAAATTTCCCAAAGACACCTTTTAAATATTGCAAATATACCGAAAGTTATAAATTATTTAACAAATAAATGTAGTCTTGCTCATTATCTTGATAATTGGTTCCCATTTAGTAATTTCTTTTTCTAAAATGTTTTATAAGTATATCAAGTTGTTGTAGGATCTTGTATTGTTAGACAGTGTTGTTTATTATTTAATTTTGCACACATTTGCCAAAGATATCATTTAAATATTGCAAATATTTTAAAAGTTATTAATTCATTTAACAAATAAATGATACAGGCAAAATCCATTTGCCTGTTTTTTGAATAATTGTTCTCCGTAAGTAATTTATTTTCTAAAATGTTTTATAAGTATACCGAGTTGTTGTAGGGTCTTGAATTGTTAGACAAAGTTATTATTAAATTTATTCATTAAGTTATTATTTAATTTAGAACAATTTTCCCAAAGACACCTTTTAAATATTGCAAACATTCCGAAAGTTATAAATCATTTAACAAATAAAGGTACTTTTGCTCATTTTTTTGATCATTTTTCCCATTTAGTAATTTTCTTTTCTAAAATGTTTTATAAGTATATACCTCTGTATACTAAAAAATCGCATCTAAAAATTAATAATAAATTCAGTAATAAATTGAAAAATATATTTTTTACGTTAGCTTTACCATTAGTGTTATTAATATTCTTCTAAAAATTCATAAATGCAAAATTCTTCTTCAAGAGTCTTCAAGACTCTTTTTTCATTTCATTTTTGAGTTGGCTCAATTTAGTGAGACAATTGTCCCTCCAAATTCTTCGTTTTTCCAACTGATCAAGGGGGCACATCTCTTCCAACTGTCTTGCAACTTCTAGGGCTTGGGGCCCCTCCATTTTTGGAGTTGGACCCATAGTTTCACTAACCTAGAACCAAAATATATATTTGTAAACCTATATTTTATTATTAACTTTATTATATAAATTTTGTATTGAAATTGTTTTAGTTTTAAATTATTAAAAACGTATTTTTATAAAAAGTCAAGTGTAAAACAAGCTTTACAGCGCTAAAGCCGGCATCACACTCTACCTGCGTCATGTAAAGTCATAATCAACCGTCATTAACAAAATGTCGAGTGATGATACGGCCTTAAGCTAAAGCTTGTAACACACTATGCAAATTAAATAAAATTTTATTTTATTTTTAAAAAGTGGTATTTTCGTAATGGTAGAGAAAATCTTATTCAAAAAATGTTATATGCAATCACTATGCAGTTTTGATAAAATAATTTTATTTTTAAAAAGTGTACTTATATACTAGCTGGTCCGGCAAACGTTGTTTAGTCATAAAAATATTTCTAGAACACTTTTATTATATAGTATAGTATATATGTGTGGTTTAACCACTGCAACAAATGCTTCATATAAATATTTCTGGTATATATTAATAGTCATTGCAAGTGCCAGCTTAATCTGAAGCTGTTTTTATTTATATTAAATTGTCTCATTTTGATCCATTATTATTAAATCATTCAATAACATAAGACCCTATAACAACTCGATATACTTATAAAACATTTTAGAAAATACATTACTTACGAAGACCAAATATGCAAGAAAACAGGCAAATGGACATTTATTTGTTAAATAATTTATAACTTTCGGAATATTTGCAATATTTAAAAGGTGTCTTTGGGGAAGTTGTGCAGAAATAAATAATAAACAATATTGTCTAACAACACAAGACCCTACAACAACTCGGTATACTCTGAAAACATAAAGTAGTAAATAGCAAAAACGATACTTCATCTACAAAATTGACTATTTTTATATATTATATTTATACAAAATAATATATTACTTAAATTATTATACTAACCTATTGAAAATACTTTTAGGTATCAATTTACAATATATATATATATATATATATATATATATATATATATATTAGGGTGGTCTTTAACAAGGACATTTTCGAATTTCTTTGCTCCCAAGGATGCAAATTCTTCCAAATAAATAAATGAATCTCTAATAGTATTAGCTCTTAATATAAACATTTAGATAGAGCGCACGCCAATTGAAAGTTTCTTATATTTATTATTAACATACGTCATTAAGTAAATTTTTGCGCCATCTGTACGTGAACTCATATATGACACATAAGAATGTTCATAAACCACTTAAACTCTAATTAAATTCTATTCATCATGGAATCAAGATTAATTTTGCAGCAGAATATTTATTTAATTGGTGATGTTGAAACTCAAATTATCATCTTGATTCCATGATAAATAAATATTATAGAACAGCCTACATGGATTTAATTAGAGTATTAAATTAGCGATTGATCTTTTCTGAATTTCTGGTATTCTTACTAAATAAATAATGTTTTTCTACTTACTGCATAAATTGTCTTGGAATATCTATCGCAGTAGCTTTTCATCCCCTCAGCATTCAAATGGGCTGTTTCCAAAGCCCCCAAAAAGGCATAACGCATCCCTAAACCTTCAGACATGACTTTATCGATATCCTTGACGTCCAGGACTTTCTGTTCAACCAATCTCCAGACTTCATTTAAAATAGCATACCTAAAAACCACAAAAAAACAATTAAGGATCAAGATTCACTTCTAATTTATCTCTAACTAGATGACCCGACAGACGCTGTCCTGTACCAATGTCTACAACTTTTTAATATAATATACTAATATTCACCGTTTACCTAAAAATAATAATTATTGTTTTTTAAATTACTCTTTACGCCGAAATGTATATACATTTATAATATGAGCGATGGTAAATGTAGAACTGCTTTAAATAAAATGATGAGTCTCAATTCCCACAACTATATTCGAAATTGAAGTCTTTTAAACGGTATAAAATAACCATAAGCAAAACATTACACTGGTACTTCATGTTGAATTAAATTAATTTAATTTTTTATTATTTAAAGATATGCAAAATTGCATCCTAAACTTCTAATTGATATCGTGAGGGTCGAATTGTATGTATTCATCTTTACTTTCCCATTTGTTGTTATAAAATGAAATTTTTACGAATTTTAAAAATATTGTGAAAAGATTTGTAAAAGATGCAAAGAAATTACATATTGAAAAAAAAACCTTTATTGAAAATTTAATATTCGAATTTTGTGTTGGCGCCCCCTAAGGCGTGCGCTCGTATTTTTCGCATGCATCGCATTAAAGGTAGGACCGGCCCTGATTAATACTTAATTTCATATTTCAAGTGAATTAATTTGTCATATCCTGTTCATAAATGTATCATTCAATCTGCCATACATATATTGTATTTTATATTATTTTAATTTCTGGCATATTTCAGCTGCTTTTTGGTAATAATAATATAGACATTTTATTTTTCGTATTCATAATCATAAATTCATTATACATATTCTAATATTGTCTAGGTTCATAAGTAAATTGAAATTTTTGGAAGATGATAGATTTCATTTGTTTTCAATGCAAACAATGATATGTCGTTTTTTGCTATTTTTTCCATTTATTTCTACAATTTTGCATACATCCCAGTGCTCTATAATCACATACATCCTAGAATATTCCCTTAACAAACTTCAGAAATATTTATCAAAATCCGAATAATCGTTTAGGAGGAGTATACAGTAAGTGCTTGTAAATTAATATGAACTTTATATAATAGCAATAAAGCTCAAATTGATTGATTTTCGTTAAATCGTTAAACGTTTGTATGTAAAAAAGAAAAGGGCTGTTTTTAGTGTTTTCCCGGCAATTATTCGATTTTTTCTCGTCGTAAGAACCATTCTTGGACTTCAACGAACATTTTAAAAAAAGAATTAGCCAAATTGGTCCAGGAGTTATGCGCTTACCAACACATTTTGCGATTCATTTTTATATATATATAAGATTTACCAATTGGACGTACTGAATTCTATTCAAGGCGAATCCCTCGATTTCTCTGGTCAGGGAAACAGGAGCCTGACCAATTTCTTCCATCAATTCTCTGGTTTTGGCAGCAAATTCAGGTTTTGTCCAGGGTGCTGGTACTATTTCAACCAGGGGAACGTAGTATGGTGGATTTACTGGATGAGACACCAAAACCTGGGAAAAAGGCAAAAATTTGCACTAATCTAGGAACAACTGGCGATATTTAACTTCCCGAATGATTACAAATTATAAAATAGATTAATGCACCAAATTTTTAAATATATTTTAAAAGTCATTTCAATTGCCATTTTGTAGTATACCGAATTGATGTAGGTTAAACAATATTGTTAACCATTCAATTTTAAACAAATTTCTCAAATACAAAAGTTACTTTAGACAAATGCTCTAGAAGATATAAATAATTTTATAAATAAAGGCACCTTAGGTACAGCGAGAATATATTTAATTTCTTATTATCTCTGAGTTGTTGTAGAGTCCTACAATGTTAGACAATCTTGTTCATTATTTAATTTTGTGCAAATTTGCCAAACACACTAGTTAGTTTTTAAAAATAGTTTAAAAGTTACAAGTGATATAATAAATAAATGCGTAAAATTGGCGCTGACTAATCGTGACTTCCCACAAAGTTTTTTTATCATTTCATCATTAATATTGATAAGGTAATTCTTAGATAATTTAATTATCCATATTGGATTAGTTAATGATATTTTACCTATAATTATAAATAAATATATGTATATATACAATTAATTATGATAATTAGATAATCAAATATGATATGGCATCGTATTCATTATCTATTTCATAATTCTTAATTTTTTTATCTACTGATTAAAAAAAAAACACATATTTGTTTTGGAGTTGCTAAATTTATATCTATTTTCTAATAATACTAAATTTCGGTACTAATTGAGATAATTGTAGTATTTGAATTTCGAATGTATATTTTTATTAGAGACATTTTTCTATGTTTCACCCTTTTTTTATTAGCTTAGCAGAAACTAGATAAAATTTACTACATTTACAAAACTGTTATATACACTCCAATAAAATAGTTTGCCAATAAAATAGTTACTCCAAAAAACTAGCCGGACCAGCTAGTATATACTAATACTAATACTTTTTAAATTTTAAACATTTTAAAAGTAGGATAAAATTTTATTTAATTCGCATAGTGTGTTACACGCTTTAGCCTAAGGCCGTATCAACACTTGACATTTTGAATATGACGTTTGATTATGACTTTACATGGCGGCGGTAGAGTGTGATGTCGGCTTTAGCGCTGTAAAGCTTGTTTTACACTTGACTTTACACAAATACTATTTTTTTGTAATTTTGTCTAATTACAAAATATTACTTAAAATCGCCAGAAAAATTTTGCTAAATTGGTTCAAATTTTGTCCTAGTCTAACCGGATAGTATTATCTAAATCATCATAACAATGTTGCTAAATTTTGTTCTGATCTAGAAAAATTTGGTGCATCAATCTATTTGAAAATTTGCAATTTTTAAATTATAAATAGAAACTAAATAGTGTCTTCGGATAATTTGTGTAAAATTACATAATAAACAACATTGTCTAATATCATAATGACCTAGGACAACTCGGTATACTCTAAAATTAATAACAATAGAAATTAACGTACTAATTTAGCTGGGGTGCAACTATTCAAGAAAAAAAATCATAACTCATAAAGTAATTGATCAATTTAAATAATCTTCTAGAAGAAAAATATACAAAATAAAATAATTTAAAAAGTAGTGGTATATACTAGCTGGCCCGGCTAGTATTAAGTCTTTTATTACCTGTGATCTGTGTTTCAGGTTTTCGCTGAACAATGATGGCATAAAAGTGCTGGTTGATGATGAAATTATGGTGTTGTCTCCAACGACTTCATCAAGTTCTTGGTATAATTTTTTTTTAAGATCCAGGTTTTCAGGAATGCATTCCTGGACGAAAAAGGCGCCCTTGACGGCTTCTGCTAAACTGGAGGAACCTAAAGACAAGAGGAAATGATTCAGATTTACTTGAAACGTCGAGGTAAGATACTTTATCTTAATTAGAGATAACATGGACTTTTTGATGATAAATCAAATGTATAATTTATTTCTATCTACTTACCAGAAACGCAGGAAAATTGCTGTTTTGCAGTCAATTTTCCTCTCAACAAATTTGCTGCTTCTAATCTTTTTAATTCTCCTTCAATATAATTTAAAGCGTCAAAAATCCTGGCGTCATCTATGTCGAAAAGCGTCACTTTGTAGCCTTGAGCAGCAAATAACATACTCCAGGATCTTCCTATTAGACCACTGCAAAAAATTAAAGTTTTAAGTATACCGAGTTGTTGTAGGGTGAAATGATGTTAGACAAGGTTGTAGATAATTTAATTTTAAACAAATTTGGTGAAGGAATCATTCAAATTGATCGAATGGTTTTGAAGTTACAGTGAATAAACTAAATGCACTGAAGGTATAGAGGATTTTTCTAGAAGATGAAAAGATGGTATGTTCAAGTTTCAATAACGATTTTGAAGTATACCGAGTTGTTGTAGAGACTTATAATGTTAGACAATATCATAAACCATTCAATTTTGAACAAATCTGCCAAATATTCTATATACTTTACTCAAATATTTCAGAAGATACAAAATGTGCAATGAATAATAATGTCCTTTGCAACTAATCATATTTTTATAAGAAAATACCAGTTGCCAGTTTGTAAATTGATTTATGGGTATACCGAGTTGTTATAGAGACTTATAATGTTAGACAATATTATAGACTATTTAGTTTTGAACAAATTTGCCAAATATTCTACGCACTTTACTCAAATATTTCATTACTAAAATAATATTTCTCCCACAGATTTACATTCGCTGTAAACTCAAAGGTGAACCAACTCTACATCCACACGTCAAAACTTTTACTCCCAAATTTGAACACAAAAATACAAAAAACAAAAAGCATTTTCCAAAAAAAATTTTTTACCTTCCAATAATTCCAATCTTTTCCTTTCGTTCTGCCATTTTTTCACAAAATTTGAATAATATTTCGATATTAAAAAAATCAAAAACAAAATGTACTACACTCGAGAGATAAAGAGACTCTTGTATATACAAACAGTGGCGGCCATTGGTATTGACATAGATATAAAAACAGGGGCGTACTTGGGAAAAAAAATAGAAAAATTACTTCAAAAAGTAGTGCAAAAGTTGTGTGATATATATATGAATGATTTGTGGAAAAAAATGTTTTTAGGTTTTATTAAAATTTGTTCAGAATTTAATTAAGAATGTTCACTTCACACAAGTTTTTGGAATTGTTAAAAATTATTTTATGAGTATACCGAGTTGTTGTAGGGACTTTTGATGTTAGACAATATTGTTTATTATTTAATTTTGTACAAATTTGCCGAATAAACCATTTATGTTCATCAAATTATTTGAAAGTTATTCAAGATGCAATAAATCAATGTATTTTTTATAAACAAAAGGTTAAGTACACATTTATTAACTTCTGAATTATTTTATTAGTATACCGAGTTGTTGTAGAGACTTTTGATGTTAGACAATATTGTTTATTATTCAATTTTGTACAAATATTAGGCTAAGTACACTTTTACTATTTTATGAATATACCGAGTTGTTGTAGAGACTTTTGATGTTAAACAATATTGTAGATAATTTAATTTTAAACAAATTCCCTGAAGACATCATTCAAATTAATCGAATGGTTTTAAAGTTATGGTAAATATAGCAAAACAAGTCATTTAAGCTAAAATAAAATGCCTCGTTATTATATTTTCATGTTTAATATTAATTTTAAAGTATACCGAGTAGATAATTTAATTTTAAACAAATTTCATTAACACATCATTTTTGTCGAATTAATGGGTTAGGTTTTATGAATTTTTTAACAAAAAATTCACTTTCAGCACACCCAGATTAATTTTGTATTTTTAAAGACAATTTTAAAGTATGTTTATAAGTAATATATTTAAATTTACTTAATACTAGTTCGACCCTGCTTATTATTTAATGGAGGCTTTGAAGATTTAATCGAGATAATTATTTTTGATATATAATTGTAATCAGAACGTTATCTGGTTTGTTTGCTTTGTTTCCATATTTATATATTGTATATATATATATATATATATATATATATACTAGCTAACCCGGCAAACGTTGTATTGCCATAAAAAATATGCCTAAATTGATAAAAAATTAATAAAAGTGCCAAAAATCAAATATTTAATAGATTTGGACTCTCATTCTTTGACAAATAGTTGAAAACTTGTTATAATTTTCAAAATTATTTGACATTTCATACTTAAAAAATTAATTCACTCGCATCATAGTTTTTTGTTTATTATACTTTTGTCATGTCAAAAAAAATTTCTTTCAAATATTATTTATTTGTTAATAAATTAATAATTATTTTAAGTCATCAATGAATAATTATATAAATGTTAAATTCATAAGTTTGGCTAAATCAACACAGGAATATCGTGGAAATAAATATTTTTTTACATAAAGATCTGATATTTGACATTGATATTAATTATAACTGTCAAAATATTTTGTTTTCGGTCGTAATTTAATATAATATGATATGATATTATGAAATTTACAAACAAAATTTTTATTTTATTAATTTATAAATTAAGATAAAAGGTGAATTAATAAATAAATGAAATCATAAATAAATTTACAAACACATTAAATAATTAAATGTAAAGTAATATATATATATATATATATTTATATATATATATATATATAATATATATACATATAGGTTGTCAAATATCTCCCTTCCGCCTTTTTGTATTATAAACCAAGAGCAAAAAAGCGGAAGGGAGATATTTGACAACCTAATATATATATATATATATATGAGTGAGTTCTTGAGGGCGATACATCAAACAAAGAAAAGCCAAAGATTTATAAAATAATCTTTATTTCCAAACGTTTCGACATTCAATTTAATGTCATCATCAGTGGATATTACGTTGGTTAGTTACATATAGAGAAGTGTACACAGCACTAGAGATTTGGCACTAACATTTATACAACTAACTTGTCAGCACTATGCATTTTTTTATATAATTTTTTTGTATGATGTAAACAGAAAAATGATAGTTTTATTGAACAAAAATGTAAGTAGAATATGTAATTTCTGCCACGACTTCTGTACTTTGCTAGTACCGAGGCATGTATCATAGATACATGCCTCGGTACTAGCAAAGTACAGAAGTCGTGGCAGAAATTACATAATTCTACTTACATTTTTGTTCAATAAAACTATCATTTTTCTGTTTACATCATACAAAAAATTTAAAAAAAAAAATGCATAGTGCTGACAAGTTAGTTGTATAAATGTTAGTGCCAAATCTCTAGTGCTGTGTACACTTCTCTATATGTAACTAACCAACGTAATATCCACTGATGATGACATTAAATTGAATGTCGAAACGTTTGGAAATAAAGATTATTTTATAAATCTTTGGCTTTTCTTTGTTTGATGTATCGCCCTCAAGAACTCACTCATATATTTCAACATCAAAATTAACTACTAAATCATATATATATATATATATATATATATTTTATATATATATATATATATATAAATGTATAAATGAGCAAATACCTGATATACAACTAGAAGAAATAAATAATTATTTGAATAAAAAAATAAATTCACAAATTATTTGGTTATATATAAACTAGTTAAAATATAAATGTATAAATGCTTAAACAATTAACTAAATGATTTTATGCTAAAGAATGAAATATCAAATTCAAAGTCGTTTTATTCAAAATTTTTATATCGGAGTGTATAAAAGTGTTTTTTAGGAAATGTTGTAAATTTTATCTAGTTTCACCCTATCTAACTGAAAAGGGGTGGTTTTATATGAAATTTTTGAGTTATTTGACAAAAACCAAAAAAAATGACCCGAATTTTCTATATTTATTGCTAAAGAATGAAACATCATCCAATTCAAAGTCGTTTTATTCAAAACGTTTATATCGAAATGTATTAATATACACTTATATATATATATATATATATATATATATATGAGTATATATATATACATATGAGTATATTTATATTTATATAACGATTTAATTTCGTCCTCCAGTAGAATGCGTGTGCGGTATATAAAATAAAATGTTCCTCTGACAACTTGACAAACTATTTCGACGACGAAATACTTCGCCTGCAAGTATTTCATTCACAAGTATTTTAATTTAGTTTCAAAAGTTATTTTAGTACAATTACTGCCATTAATTTTGTCTTCGCCCAGGACGTGGATGCGATTTTCTCTCACAACTCACTCGTAGAGGAGACCGGAGGAAAAAGGGATACTTGGGGGAAAAATAAAATTCGGGACATTTTTATCAAATAACTCAAAAATTTCATATGGAACCACCCCTTTTCAGTTATATAGGGCGAAACTAGATAAAATTTACAACATTTCCTAGGAAACACTTTTATACGCTCGGATATAAAAGTTTTGAATAAAACGACTTTGAATTCGATGATATTTTTCGCATTAAAGCATTAAATAGAAAATTCGAGACATTTTTTGGTTTTCGTCAAATAACTATAAAACCATTCGATTAATATGAATGGCGTATTTGACAAATTTGTCTAAAATTAAATAATCTATAATATTGTCTAATATCATATCTATAAATTTTATCGTATTTTAGCACTGAAAGAGCTATTTCTCCGCCATTCATCTCTAGTAATTTCGTTATTGAAAAACTTTTAGGAAATATTGAACCTGAGGCTAAACTAATAATAAAGTATCATCTCTTCTTCACATCGAAAATTACCAAGATAGATTTATATATATATATATATATATATATATATATATGTATATAAAATATTCAAAGTATTCAAAGTATATTAAATGTTTTCAAAAAGGTTCATGCAAACGTAACTTTTATTATTCGTATTTTGTAGATAAAATATAAGAGCTTACAAATTGGACGACGACCTTTATAAAAGTTCAAATAATATTTGATCACGAGCTCTGCAACTCATTGGTTTACTTTTTATTAAATCTTTTGTAACTTTTAAACCGTTTGTCCAAAGTAAATAGTTTATTCCGAAAATTTGTTCTAAATTAAAAATATCTATAATATCTTCTAACATACTATTACCTTACGTCAAGTTGCTATATTTTAACATTTCCAAAATAGACATTGTGACTTTTGTTGAGTTTGTTACTATGATATTTGGTTAGTGCTCGTCTAAACCTTTCATTTGATACCACACATGCCTATATT